ACGATGATATGACGCCTGGACCAGAAGAAGCGTTATAAATGCTGATCCGTCATTTAATCCCTCCAAATTAGCCGGGTACTCTGAATAACTGCCAATCAACTACGCGGGATAAAGGGAAAGGGGCTTGTTGACCCGCAAGAGATTTCGTCAACGATTCACTTGATCTAAGCTAACTACGGTACCGCTTAGGAGGCAGACCAGTGTTTCAGTGTCTTTAAAGGAAAGACGGTGCCACTTCCATCCCCCCCCCCCGCTTCTTACACCCTCACACGCTGACAGTGTGTCCCAACGCTCTTCCATAGACGACTTTGCAACGCTTGCCCCTGCTCTGTATAATCGGCGAACAATGTGATCGCTGCCCTTGAGAATCACATAGAAAAATCGCAAAAATTCACCTCATGGAGTTGTTCAGCTTCTTCGTCTTCAGCTGACACCATGACTACAACTTCTTCTAACAACGATGTCATATGGAATTCGAAGTTATCACTAAGACGGCTCCGAGCACGATCAATATAACGATTTTGGGGACGTTTCTATAAATATGGGAGGGTTCTTCTAATCTTATGAGCAAATGCTGATTTTCATCGTCATCTTATGCACCTTAGTCTCTACGGCTGGCTTCACATCATCCTGAAGTGCCTCTAGCTCACTCAGCCACTCCGAGATATCCTCTTGCCGAATCTCTTGCTTGACCCTTTTTGCCTTGACGATTTCCTGTAGATTGAATCCGGTATCATCCGCACCAATAGCATTCAGGACATGTCTAAACATAGGCTATCACGCATAACATACCACTGGACTAAAACTGTGCTGATTAAGGAAGACACGATACAGCGAACTATCAAGCCACAAACAGCCCCAATTCCGTGCTTTTCATCAAGCTCGCTAAGAAGCGGCCAAGTTACAGAAATTAAGTCTGAGCGCAGAAACGTAGGAGCCCACAGCCTGATGTTCTGCTCTTGGCAACGCTGCATCGCGAAGAAAATGGAAACTGCCGAAATACTTCTATGGTATAAAAACTAAGCTCTCAGGGAGAAAACTCACTCGGCTTTCTTCAACAAATCGGGATGTGGTTCGAGACCACGCTTTAAGAACGACGATGGCGCAATGAGATCAGCGATTTTCGAATCATCTCCTTGAATTGGGAAACCAGTTCAGTAAGTTTTTGCGGTAATCGTTAAAAAAGTAGAAACAGTTACAAACCACTTTTGATATCGTTAAGAGCCTTCAGTTTCATGGCAGTACATTGTCGTTGGAAAAACGGATTTAACACGCATTCAGCTTCCATTAACCTACAAAAAGCTCAAACATTCGAAATTGTCTACTTCAACGACACTATTAAAACTGTGTCTACAAAAAACCCACCCGCTTTCAGCATTGAACTGCATCACATCAATGAGTTCGTCAATCAGATTCACTTGTTTGTCTGCAATACTTCGCATCAAATACATTAGAAACAATGGAAATCCGTACAACATGAGTTTCGGACCGAGCT